ATGATAAGAATAATTGGAGAAGGAAATTAAGTCCAATCGGCATCAGAAATTTCAAACGGCGAGTCGCTGAAATCACTAGGCGATATCCATGGGGTTCGCCAATTGAGAAGTCAAGAATTCAAAAGCTGAAAGAGAAAATTGGCGATATGGCTTGCCCATCGGCGGATCACCAAGTCATTCGGCGAACCCGACTAATACCGCCGAGTTGGTCTTGAGGTGGAATTTTGGGAAATTTTTGGAAACATATAAATTGGCTTTTGAAGAGAGAGAAAGGGGACTTTTACATTACCAATTAATTTACTAGCAAAAACTTCTGTTCTATTGGGGTTTTTGAGCGAAGATATTGAGGTTTGAGGGTTTTAGTCTTAATTTTTGACATTGAGTACAAGAGATTTTGGCATCTTGATGGAACATATTTTTTGTAACTTTTACTTACTTTTTACTATGTTTGGCTAAACCCCCTTACCTTAGGGATGTGATTATGTAATAGAATACATAAATTAGCTTGAGGGTATTGTTAATTGCTAGATTTAATGTTGTTTTGAAATGGGTTCAGTTATTTACTCATGTTTTCATTTATGGATTGAAGTTGCAAATTTAGTTCTAGCTTTAACTCTCTAAGTTTGCTTGTGAACGATGCTTAGGGTGGAGTAAAATTGATAGTTGTATTGACTCTTGTCTTCACAACCCAGCTTGATAAAGTGGGTTAAATTGAGGAATTGGGTTGCTTCGCATCGTAAGCTAGTTGAAGTTCGAAAGAACTTGCTTGAAATATAATAGTTGATTGAAAAATGGTTGTTTTAGTTACAATCCATCATGCCCATTGATATTCAACGACCTAAAGCAATTAGTCATTATCCGTTAAGCGAAATTAGTATTCGATTGCACACACTCCTAAGGTCCCCTATCTACTTGTTCAAAACTTGCGTTAATTGTCTTAGTTAAAAATAGGTTACTAAATCCTCTTAATATTGATAATCGAAATTTATTGATTTACATTATGTTGTGTTTTATTTATTTCCATTCTACAAGAAGTTAGAACACTTTCATACTTTGTATTTGAATTCTTTTCCATACCATTCCTCGTGGGATCGATCCGAACTCATCGTTGGGTTTATACTTATTGATGACTAACTGCGCTTTCAATCATAAGGGGTGTACTTGAGCGCTATCATGGCCTCAAACTAAAATTGTGTAGAATGTACCAAAATACCGTTTAATCCTGTTATCGTAAACATATCATGTAAAAAATATAGAATGAATGATTCAACAAAAAAGAAAAATACATTCTTTTAAAATAATAAAAAGAAAAGTAAGACAAAAAAATTGAAACATAGAGAGTATCAAACACAATAAATTATGTTATTTAAAAGTGTTTTTTCTGAAACTCATTTGATACAAATACTTTTAACTGTTAGGACCGAAATAATTACGTGTCATGTGGAAGCTACCAAATAATATCTTGAAAGACCACATGTAAGAAGATAGAAATATACCAAAAGGGACACAAACATTTGACGTGGTTTCATTGATCAACAAAATGCACAAGAGAAAATGAGCGATCTACTATATAAAAGAGTAAAAAATATCGAGAGAAATAACCTCACAAAATTCATTCATAATAACAAGAGGTTCACACAAGTAATACAGTAACCCTTGTGTCATACAAAGTCTTCTGTTGAACAAAACTCTCAAATCCCTTAGCACTGCAGTGTGGATGTTGTCATGTTAGAAGAAATGAAGTTCTATTGAAGAGACATAAACCTTTTCTACAAGAGACAGAACTAGTCAAATATGAAAACTTAGTTTTTTCCTTCCACGAAAAGAAAAATCCAATTGTGATAAGAAGTTCTGAAGCAAACACCCAACAATACTCCCCTTTGGCCAGGATTTCTGACAACTTAAATTTGCTCCACCTTATTCTTATAATTTGCAAAAAGTTAAAACTCCATCTCCAAATCTCCCCCACTAAATCTATGTCTCTACACATTGTAACACTATGATAAAATTTCTCAAACAAAAGTTTTCGTTATCATCAAATAGGTTGTGACTAGAACTGAACACGCCAAGACAGACACTCATTTTTAACCTCATCTCATCTTATGTATTAGGTCAATTAACTGAACCACATTAAATATTTGTGTCTCTTTTGACATATAAAAGAGATTCATACAAGTAATAACCTAATGTTTGTGTCTCACAAATTCTCCCTATAAACAAAACTCTTAAAGCTCTTAGGACTACATTGCGGATGATGCTATGTTAGAATAAATGAGCATCTATTTATATAGTCATAAACCTTTCCTACAAGACAAAATATAGCAAAATATGAAAACTTTATATTTTTATTTTGAAAAAAAGAAAAACTTAATTATGCGAAGAAAAATTAGGGGAAACACCGCGCCCAACATTAAGAACATGAAAATGGCTTGATATATCCCTCAACTTTTTACTTTAGAGCTAAGATGCTCATTATAAAAGTGAATCACCTATACCCCTACAAAAGTGACTCACCTATACCCCGATTGTTATAAAAGTGTCTTACATTTACCTTTTTCATCTAACAGAAGAGAAAAAATGAATTTCAATTTTTTTGACGTTTTATTTTTAAAAACAAAACATGTAGGGGTATATATGATCTTTCTAGTAAATTTCAAGGCGATATTTGATTCTTCTCACACACAATTTTTTTTTACTTCCTTGATTCAAAGACAAATTTGAGTTTTCAATATCTTCCTTGTAGATATATCTGGTTATCATAATCTGAGTTTCTTATTCTTCTTTTTTTCATTCTTTGGTGTGAAAATAGGAGAAATACAAATAAAAAGTGTGAGTGAAAAAAGAGAATAAAATAAAAAATAATAATTTAAAACTATTTTTGTTGAGGCTATATTTTATTTTATTATTTGTGTAAATAAAAAATATTAGGGAATGGATGATAAATTTTACAAGAAAATGAGTGAAAATAAATTTGACCATCAATATAATAAACCAAAATTAGTCGTTGAATCAAAGAAGTAAAAAATTTCACGTGTGAGAAGGATCATATATAACCCTTTTTATATGGATTGTTTATTTAAATAAATGATCAAAAAAATAAATTTAAAATTATTTTTGCACTCCTGTTGGACAAAAGGGGTAAATCATGGGCATTTATGTTACAATAAGGGTATATATGAATTAGTTTTTTAACGAGGAATATATCAACTTAAGTCGCAAAATTGTGGGTGGGAGGGGTAAGTAAGACCCCTAGATTCTTTTAATAGTTTGCTCAAACTAGTTCTAAATTGACATTCTATATTAAACTAATCCACTAATCATCATTGCTTTCATTATCATGTGATAAAAGAACCACATATTTCTATGACAAATCTGATTAATTTTCTAATGATCTAATACAATTTATATAAGTAATTAACTTTTGTTGTATTTCATTTTACTTCCTTTCGCAATTATTTTCCCAAAAAAAGGTTTAATTATAAGGATTAAACTCATTTAGGTAAGTAAATAACAACTATATCAATAAATCTGATTCCAAATAAAATTTGGAATAAAAGTTATTATGTTTCCAAATGAAATATTTGAAATATGGTAGGTCATCTCTATGTATATTTAATATTGTCATTAAATCTGATTCCAACACAAATTAGGAATGCAACTAATTACTTTCTCAATGAACAAGGAAATATGGTAGTCCATATCTATATATATATTTCATATTGTCAATATATTTGTTTTCCAAAATAATTTAGGAATGAAATTTATTATTTTTCCAAAATAAATTAGGAATGCCATTTATTATTTTTCCAAAGGAACTATGATATATGGTAGATCATCTTTATATATAGTTCAATGTCAATCAAACTTATTATACACTGTTTCTACTGATTGTGTTCCTTACAAGAACTCAAAAAAAATCTCAACGTTGTTTTTATTTAATTTGTTCTTTAAATTAGTGTTATTGAACAATGAGTAACTCACAAACTCATTCTTGATCTGGTGGTGGTATAACTAACATGAGTGATGATGATTCAATAGATATGCTCTTAAGGGAAATTCATGTAGTAGACAATCTACAAAGTCTATTCTCGCAAAATTGGAGATATCCTCCAAATTATTCAAAGTCAACAATTGACCCCTTTCCAGTGACAAGGGGAAGGACTTTGCATCATCGTGACGATGAAAAAGTTATAATGAGGTATGTCAAAATAAGAACTCATCATGATGTTGCGTCTAAACATGATGACTTGAATGACTTGAATGACAAGTGATTTAGAAGTAGACAAATCCTTAGCAAATTAGGTATTGGAGCTGTTGATAACATCCAAAGTTCAGATGCTAAGTGTTGTTGAATTGACAACAGGAATTTAGCCTGAAAAGAAAAAAAGTGGGGTAGAAGTTAAGTTTCTATTGAATTGAGTAAGATCCTTTTGAATAGAAGATGCCCATGAAAAAGATTTTTTAGAGGAAGATCATCAGATGTTGGTCAAGAGAAGGCCAATGAAGACGCTCCAGAAAAATAATCCCCAGTACACAAATGTTTGTGTTTGCAACAGTTGACCTCCATCCTCATTTACATGAACTTAGGCTGGTGTCATTGAAGAATATGTCTGTATTCAGCGAGACAAAGGTTTTGGTTTTGTAAGATACAATAGCCATGTTGAAGCAGCTCGAGCTATTCAGTTGGGAAATGCTCAATTTTTTTTTGGTAAATCTAATAAGTGCTTGTGGCGAAGCAACCCTACTCCACTAGGAAACATCTCCAACCCTCTACCACCTCCTATTATCGGATAACTCCCCAGTATTTCAGCCAAGGATCTTGCAAACGTACTAGAGGCAGCTTGCTTTGTCTAAGAAGGACAATTCTCGTATGTTGCAAGATCCATGGTTGAACTACTGAAGAGTTGTCCGACAACATGAGGTGGTAGAGAGTTGGAGCTGCTTCATCCTAGAGTAGGGTTTCTTCCCCACGAGCACTTAACAAGTTTACCAAAAAGGATTCAGGCATTTCCCAACTGAATAGCTCGAGCGGCTTCAACATGACTATTGTATCTTACAAAACCAAAATCTTTGTCTCGCTGAATACATATATATTCTTCAATGACACCAGCCCCAAGTTCATGAAAATGATGATGGAGGTCAACTGTTGTACACACACAAACAATTGTGTACTGGGGATTATTTTCTGGAGCGTATCCATTGGCCTTCTCTTGACCATCATCTGATGTTCCAGTTGTCAATTCAACAACACTTCTAGCATCTGAACTCTGGATGTCATCACTGACTCAAGCACCTAATTTTGCTAAGGATTTGTCTTATTCAAAGACACTTGCCATTCATGTCATTCAAGTCGTCATGTTTATACTCAACAACATGATGATTTTGATATACCTCATTATAACTTTCTCATCCTGACGACGATGAAAATCATAAAAAGATCTCATTAAGTTTTTAAATACTTTTTTAATTATATTTAAAAACAAAAAAAGTCAAAATACATTATTTTTTATAAAATAGAACAACTAAATAATTATGAACAAACTAAGTCACATGTTTGTTATTCTGGAGGGAACCAAGTGGAAAACATATAGGAAATAAAAACAATTACAAGTAATTAGGAGAATCAAGAAAGCTTAAAAGTAACAGTAGTTTTAATAATTGAGACTCCCCAACTTTTTCCTGTATTAACCATTAGCAATGAATAGAAAAGTAGTAATTGAAACACTAAAACTTTTCTGAATAAAGAATATGAAAAATTAAGAAGCAATATATGAAAAATGCATGATAACATTTATCGATCTATCTATCAACTTCTATATCTATCTATCTATATATTAATCAATCTATCTATCAGTCAATGTAACACCCCATATTCAAAAGAGGGAAGCCTATCAAAAATTTCAGAACTTACAAGTGCCATCCACTCAGGCCAGCCACGGCCCGTGGGTTGAACCACGGACCAGAGGTGGATCCGTGGAAAGGCCACCAATAAGTTGTTCAGGCCATGGACTACGACTAGACCTACAGACCGTTGGTGGGTCCATGGTCCATGGTCCAGGAACTGTAGGTTAGGCCAAAACTCTCTGACCACCAACGACGAGTGTGCAGGACGGACCGTTGGTCAGTCCAGGGTCCGTCGGTGGTGAGTCGTGGGTCAGGGTTCAACAGTTAAGTCCAGAGGAAGTGGGGTCTTTTCCTAATTAATTAGTTCCTATACTACATCATTTTACCCTTCACTAAGATCCCTATATATGTATTTTCAACCCCTCAAATTAGCCTATTCACTTCATTCTTCAAAATTCATAAAAGAAGAACTCTCCAAAATATTTCTCTCTCTAGAAACTTGAAGAAGAAGAAGAAGGATTCAACCTAGGGTTTTAAGTCAAGGTCTCAATTACTCCATTAAAGGCTAGCAGTTGGACACAAGGTATGATAGTTTTCATCCATGGATTCCTTCCATTCATGGAGTTCCCAAATTCCTGTTTCTGAAGGTAGAATTCCCCAATTGAGTTAGGGTTTTCTTCAATTATCATAGGTTCATTTCATTATTGATTTAAATGATTGAAATATGATTTATTATGCATAAATTGATGAAATTCTATGATTTTATGAAGATTTTCCCATGAACCCATGCAATCCCCATGTTTTTAAGACATGAATCATATGATGTGGGATTTTGATCTTAAAGGAAGAGTTTTATGAAATTAAGCATGTATTGCAAGCTTTGCATGAATTTATGATGAAATCCATATTTAACACATGTTTTCTGAGTATTGATGATTGAAAGTGGATTTTTAACCTCAAGAGGTAAATTATGGACTTATGCATTTTCTTATGGAATCTATGCAAATGTTTTAAGGATGATTTGAGAGTAAAGTGTCTAGCCGGAACGGATGGTTGCTTCAGTTGTGGTAAGAGTGGTCATAAAATGAGGGATTACCCAATGCTTACGGCTAAATAAAGAGAGGGCAAGCAAGCTCCTCCTAGTGGTTCGGGTTCCAATGTTCCTAAGCAAAATAGGTTCTATGCACTTTAGACTCGTGGTGAACAAGAGGCTTTTCCGAATGTGGTCACTGATATGTTAAAAGTTTTCCACCTCGATGTTTTTGCATTACTTGATTTCGGTGCTACCTTGTCTTTTGTGATGCCATATGTGGCTATGAGGTTTGATGTTCTTCCATATGTGTTATTAGAACCTTTGTAACATCTTGTACCCGAAAGAGGAAGGCTTAACAAAATTTCAGGGCTTTCACGTGTCACCCATGTAGGCAAACCACACCCCGTGGTTGGACCCATGCCACGTGGGTGAGCCCCGTAGGTGGGCACCCTGGACACCGTTTTGAGGTAGTGAACCATAGCAAGGACCACGCCCCGTGGGTGGGTCCACGGTCCGTGGATGGGGCAGTCGTGGATTGGCCAAAACTCTCTGACCATGATCAACGATTGACCAGGATGGACCGTTGGTCCATCCACGATCCGTAGGTCATGGTCTCGTGGGTCATGTAAGGGAAATTATTTTAGGGACTTAAGGATCTTTTCTGGTTTTAATTAAATTGAAGTGGTATCATTTTGCCTAGACCTAGACCACCTATATAAGTACTTTTAACCCCCAAAAGCCCCCAATTAAGTCATTCTCTCAAAATCCAAAAAGAATTCCCAAAACTTCTCTCAAATATTCTCTTTCTAAAAGTTGGAAGAAGAAGAATGAGATTGAAGCTTGGTCAAGATCAAGTCTCCAAAGTTCAAGCTTGTAAGGGCTTTTTAATCAAGGTATGGTGATTTTTCATCCATGGGATCCTTCCTCCCATGGAGTCTCCTAGAATTCCACAATTTGATGAAGAAGTTCCCAAATTCTAGTTAGAGTTTCTTCCATTGTTGTGGGTTATGATGAATGTTGATCCAATTGAGTGGATTATAATTTTTTATGATTGAATTGATAGAATTGCATATATTTAGGATGAAATTACATGTACCCATGTCTATCCAATGATTTTAGGGTTGAATTGATATAGTGGGTTTGATGACATGTGAGGAAACTCTATGGGTTAGATATATCCTTATATGATTGATGAATTATGAATAGAATTGCTCTAGATTGTAGCATATATGATGAATATGATGATAATTTCTTGAGAGTAAATCTTAGATAATGATCATGAGATGTAGTGCTTTGAGAGTAAAGCCTAGACTATGCATTGTTGATTGTAAATGTTATGATGTGGAAGAGATACTTCCTATAATGAATTGATAAGCATGATTGAGTGAATATGAAAGGTTTACTCACATGAATGATTCTAGGTTGAAAGGATTGCTCACCAAAAATTAATCTAGACTAAAATGCTTAATGAATGATGAGGCTAGAGGTAATTACCCTTCACCTCCATATGAAAGGATAAGAGGCGATTCCCCTACTCCTTAGACTTGAACAAGAGGTGAGTCCCCACGTTCTTACTATGATGAAAGGACATGGAGGCGAGTACCCATGCTCCTTATGAAATGATGTGGAGGCGAGTACCCACATCATATGATGAGGTTGAGGAGGCGAGTACCCGCAATCTAAAAGTAAGTACGGCAAGAGGCGAATACCCATTAGCCTTTATGAACTAGGCATTGAGGCGAATCCCCATGTCTTTAAAAGTAAGTATAATTAATGAGATTATGTTATGGAATTGACTTGTGTGGAGTGTTGCTAGATATGCCTTCCATGATGTAAGTTTGACTAGAGGTGGATGACCTATTTCTTGGTTAAACTTAAGTGAGTATTTCTCTTTCATTATGATGTTTTATATATATTGATTATGTGTATGCCTTATGTCTTATGTCGACTAATGCTTATGTTTATGTAGTTCATGCTAGCCATCATATTTAGTACTTGATTGTACTAACACATACTCTTGCCTACATTCTTATCAAATGTAGGGTCCGGCGTTCCCGATTCGCACACTTGTGGCTACGTTCCTAGAGGATTGTGAAGTGAAGCTTTGGTGAGTCCTCATTGTATTTGAGGATTGGATCACCCTATCTATTTTATGTCTTTCCTTTTACTTTTGAGACTATCGTATAGGCTGCGTCCCAAGATTTCTATTTCTTATGTTTAGATGGTTTGAGACAATGTCATGTTAGACTTCCGCTTGCTTTTATAAAAGACTTTGATTGTATTTGAAAAGTTTTAATTCCCGCACCTTTTCTATTAATTTATGTTATGATATGCTAAGTGGCTTGTATGTGTCCTCTCAGGGTCTTATACGGCTTGTTACATCTATGGGGTATCCCTGGGTCGTGACAACCTTTTTCTGTCTCTACTCCTCTCAGTGATTCTATTGTGGCTAAGAGGGTCTATAGATGTACCTTGATTTGTGGGAGGTCTATTGATGGAATGGGATGAAGAAGGATATTGCGGAGTTCGTGACTAAGTGTCCTAGTTGTCAACAAGTGAAAGTTGAGCATCAGAAACCGGGAGGTTTATCTCAAAACATTAGCATTTCTACTTGGAAGTGAGAAGACTTGAATATGAACTTTGCAGTTGGTTTGCCTCGCAGTCGGCGGCAACATGATTCAATTTGAGTGATAGTATATCGGATGACGAAATCAGCTCATTTCCTTCCCATTAAGGTTTCCTATATGGCGGAGAACTATGCCAAGTTGTACATGAGAGAAATGGTAAGGTTACATGGAGTGCCTTTGTCCATTATTTCTGATCGTGGTACTCAGTTCACTTCTCAGTTTTGGAAGTCATTCCAAAAGGGTCTTGGCACTAAAGTGAAGCTTCGCACGACTTTTCATCCACAAACCTATGGGAAAGCGGAGAGTACTATCCAAACTTTGGAGGATATGTCAAGGGCTTATGTAATCAATTTTAAAGGCAATTGGGATGACCATTTACCATTGATTGAGTTTGCCTATAACAATAGTTATCACTCGAGTATTGGTATGGCTCCATTTGAGGCATTGTATGGTAGGAGGTGTAGATATCCTATAGGATGGTTTGAGGTGGGTGAAGTTTCCCTAATAGGTCATGAGTTGGTACATGAGGCCATAGAGAAAGTTCAACTTATAAGAGAAAGGTTGAGAACGGCTCAAAGTCGGCAAAAGTCATATGCCGATATGAGAATAAGGGATCTTGAGTTTTATGTTCATGATTGGGTTTACTTGAAAATTTCACCCATGAAGGGTGTAATGAGGTTTGACAAGAAGGGGAAGCTTAGTCCTTGATATGTAGGCCCATATCAGATTTTGAGGCGTGTTGGTAAGGTTGCTTATGAGTTAGATTTGCCAAATTAGTTGGCATCGGTGCATCAAGATTTCCATGTCTCTATGTTTAAGAACTGTGTTGGAGATCCGACATCCATAGTTTTCTTAGTAGGTTTGGGAGTTAACTTTTGCTTGCATTGTATTATTTGGCCTACGTACCAGAATTGATTCCACAGCCCGTGGTCCAGAAACCGTAGGTCAGGCCAACTCTCTAACCACCAACGACGAGTGTGCAAAACGGGTCGTTGGTCAGTCCACGGTTCGTCGGTGGTGAATCGTGGGTCAGGGTTCAACAGTTAAGTCCAGGAGAAGTTGGGTATTTTCCTAATTAATTAGTTCATATACTACGTCGTCTTACGCTTCTCTAAGACCCCAATATAAGTATTTTCAACCCCCAAATTAGCCTATTCACTTCATTCTTCTAAATTCACAAAAGAAGAACTCTCCAAAATATTTCTCTCTCAAGAAACTTGAAGAAGAAGAAGAAGGATTCAACCTAGGGTTTTAATTCAAGGTCTCAATTCCTCCATTAAAGGCTAGCATTTGGACTCAAGGTATGATAGTTTTCATCCATGGATTCCTTCAATTCATGGAGTTCCAAATTCCTCTATTTCTAAAGGTAGAATTCCCCAATTGAGCTAGGGTTTTCTTCAATTATCATGGGTTCTTTTCATTATTGATTTAAATGCTTGAATTATTATCTATTATGCATGAATTGATGAAATACTATGATTTTATGATGATTTCCCCATGAACCCATACAATCTCCTTGTTTTCAAGACATGAATCATAT